AGTGCAGTGTGTTGCCTGTCTTACAGTGATAAACCCCAAAGGACTTTTTACAAATACAGATAATCTGGTTGGGCACGGTGGCTCACGCCTGTAATCTCAGCACTTGGGGGAGGCCAATGTGGGCGGATCACGAGGTCAGGAGATCAAGACCAACCTGGCTAGCACAGTGAAACCCTGTTTCTACTAAAAATACAAAAAATTAGCCAGGCGTGGTGGCGGGCACCTGTAGTCCCAGCTACTCCGGAGGCTGAGGCAGGAGAACGGTGTGAACCCGGGAGGCAGAGGTTGCAGTGAGCCAAGATCGCACCACTGCACTCCAGCCTGGGCAACAGAGCGAGACTCTGTCTCAAAAAAAAAACAAAAAACAAAAAAACAAATACAGATAATCCAAATGGGGCTGGCCAACAAAGATGAAAGTGCAGCAAAGAAATGAAAAGTGATAATACTGGAGTGAAATTTGAATATATGGAGTTATAGAAGAAAATGCTGACTATGGCAAGGCTGACAAGGTTTCAGGGCCTCTAGATATACAGCCAGGGAACTTATCAACATCAGTGAGGAAAGTGGTTGTGATGGAAAGAATGGCAACGTCCCAGAGGAAGTGACTCCAGGAAAATAGTTCACATTAAAGAAACTCTAGGACATTTCATGACATTAAAAGTGCAAAGGATAAAATGTTGGAAGCAACCACGGCACAGAAAAGACACAGAGAAGTACTCTTTAAACTACTATTGAAACTACTACTGGCAAGCTTTTTACAAAGAAATAAAGTACTTTAATTCTCAATGTTCTTAGTATTTTAAGTTACACTGTAGTAAACAGTAGTTTTATTTTTTTGTTCCCCTATACTTCTGTAATTGACAAAAGATTTTAGTGTTTTAACAAAAATTTTTAAAGATCACAAAGCAATTGTAATTTTCCCACTGACTATTAAAATTGCTTTGCACGGTTTCAGCTTGCATTATTATTTTTAGTCGTTTTACTTATCCTGCATAGCAAGGACTGCCTGTATTTAAGTAAACTAATCTTTACTCAAAAAAGGTATTTTAAAAGAATATTCCTGTTTTCTTAGCAATAAATGTTCAATTCTGTGCCACAAGAAGTTACTGAAGAAACTGAATTCTTGCCCTATTTCCTTCTACCTTGGGTATGACCTTGCCTATGCAGCAACTGTCACAGCTTTGACGATTCAGGAGAAAGCAAAAACGCTCCCGCTAGTAAAGGCAAAGTTCCTCTCCCTCAAAACCTGGAATTTATTTACTCCCACTTCACACACAGTTGAAAAGTTTGATAACTGGACTTCAAGAGATTAGAAAAACCACCCTAATGAGAAAAAAGAAACTTAGTCACATCAGTGCAGAGACAAATAAAATTCAGCATCACAAGACAGGAAAATCTACCACATCTATTTACATAAAGTTATTAAAAAGACAAATGCCTAAAGACTTAACGTGACTATCCCTCAGCTGCCCTGAGTGCATCACAATAAAGTAGGCAATATTCATAAAGATATATTTTAAGATATCAAGAAAAAAATATTAAGGAAAAAACTAAACCATATACAGCAAACTCTTTAAGAATGGGGCAAGAAGATCTAGCAGATTCTGGAAAAGTAGAGATGGAAATGTTTTGGATTTTCCTGGATCCCACATAACTACTGAACAACTAGATAGCAATGACCTTTACAAGAACCCCAAACTGCAAGTTGGTGGTGACAGACTACCACAGTCACAAACCCTAGTGCTATAGCACCTACATGGGAAGCAATCCAGCTTTATTAAAGGACCTGAAAACAGGAGAATTCTCAACACCCAAGAGGTATGATCCAGAAGGCACAGCAGCCAATTAGAGAACTGCAGTGCACTAGGAGGAGGTTTGTCCACACCAATAATACACAAGTAACCAGGAACCCAAGGTAAGGCATAAAGGGGCCAGAGGAGTTTAACCCCCATGAACCCTTGACACTAACCAGTGAGAGATCCTTTCTAGGAGAGGGCCTGCTATGAAGAGTCACTGCTGGGAGATGAATCAAAATCAACAGGACAGGAAAAAGGGAGAAGGAACAGACTAACATGGGGCACAGGGACAGAGCCAGGAATCCTTAGAAAACAACTGCCATAATTTTTTAACAGAAGAGGGAGTTATATAAAGTTAGAAACATTATCTTGACTAGTTTCCTTCTAAAAGTTGAGGAAAACTAAATTCACATAAAAAGGAAACAAAGTATAGAAGTTAAATCCCATACAAAGTTACTAAAAGTAAGAAGAAGGGAGGCCAGGTCCCTGTGACTAAAGCCTGTAATACCAGCACTCTGGGAGGCGGAGGTGGAGGTGGGCAGATCGCTTGAGCCCCATGAGTTCAAGACCAGCCTGGGTAACATAGAGAAATCCTGTCTCTACAAAAATTACAAAAATTAGGCCAGGTGCCGTGGCTCACACTGTAATCCCAGCACTTTGGGAGGCTAAGGCAGGTGAGGTCAGGAGTTCAAGACCAGCCTGGCCAACATGGTAAAACCCCATTTCTACTAAAAATACAAAATTATCTGGGTGTGGTGGCGCATGCCTGTGATCCCAGCTACTTGGGAGGCTGAGGCAGGAGAATCGCTCGAACCTTGGAGGCAAAGGTTGCAGTGAGCTGAGATCACGCCATTGTACTCTCGCCTTCACAAGAGTGAAACTCTGTCTTAAAAAAAAAAAAAAATTAGCTGGGAGTAGTGGCACGTGCCTGTGGTCCTAGCTACTCGGGAGGCAGAGGTGAGAGGAGCCCAGGAGGTTGAGGCCACAGTGAGTCATAATCATGCCACTGCACTCCAGCCTGGGTGACAGAGCGAGACCCTGTCTCAAAAAAAATAAAAATAAAAAATAGAAGGAATAAAGAACAGAATGATGTCTCTATGACAGTAAGCCAGAAAGACATCCTCAGATCAAAACTAGAATATACCATTTCTATAGGAGCTAAAAGATACTTTAAAAATTACACAAGGCAAGAGAGAACATGAATCAACATTAGTCTATGAACTCAGAACGACCAACCCTAAGACATACTCTAGCAAAATTGCTGGATTTAAAAAAAAAAAAAAACCTTTGGGTATTTTAGATTAAAAGCACACATAATTTTTTAGGCTAAGGTGGGGGGATTACTTGAGCCCAGGAATTGTAGACTAGTCTGAGCAATACAGCAAGATCTTATCTCTTAAAAAAAATTAATAATTAAAAAAAAGGAATGTTGATAAACTTTACCGAGGTTTTTCATAAGAGGCCATCATCTCACATGTAACACTGAATGAAGCTGGAACCTAAAGTGTTAAATCAAAAAGTTTAAGACTCTGTAGTTCTGTTATCTTATCATGTACTTATTCTACCCTATCCCTTTTTATTTTTAAAAATTTTAACCTAAAGAAAAGTTGAAAGTTTGGTATAATAAACACCACTCTTCATCTATATCAATGATCAGTAACATTTTGCTATATTTGCTTCATTTCCATCTACATATACTTTTTCCACCTGAACGAGTTAAAAATAAACTGTATACCTTTCACTCCCCCAAAACCTTTTCAGCATGCATCTCCTACAAACAGGGACAATCTCCTATGTAACTACAATATCATTATCACATCCAAGAAAGTTAAAACTGATAATTATCTACATATAAGTTTCCCCAATTGTTGAAAACAAGGTGTTTATGGTTTTTTTAAAAATCCATGGTTTTAAAAAAAATCTATCAAGGACCACACACACAGCACACACATTTTCATTCACTGCCTCCTTCAACTATTCACTCCTCACCTTTGTATGGTCTTTTATGGCATTGACCTTTTTTAAAGATCAGACCAGCTTTTTGTAGAATGTCCCACACTGGATCTCTTTGTTGTATCATGATCAAATTCTAGATCAACATTTAACAAGAAATTTACATTGGTAATGTTACCATGCCTCCTCTTGATGTGATACAATGGCAAAGACACAATGTCATTTTGTTCCATTACTGGTGATACTGAGTTTGGATAACATGCCAGCGTGCTTAAAAGAAAGAAAAAAATAATCAGATTCAAATCTTCCCTTTGCTCAAAACCTTACAGTGACTTCCTCTTAGAATGTTCAATAAAGCTCAAAATATTTCCCAAGACCTGTAAGAACCTGGCCTATTCTTTAGCCAAAACTGCTCTTAAAATTCTCTATAGCTCCAGAGTGGTATGCTGTCTTTTCTGGCTGAAAAATCCCCAAAACAGGAATGAATCATTTCAAACTTGCCAAGTGAAAGCAGCCAGGCATCTCTGAAATTACAATATATCTTAAAATTCCACTAGTCCAATGACACAACTATTATTGCCATTGTTAATTGTTACTCATACTGAGTTACATAAAGTTGCAGAAAAGCTTTTCCTTTAGGGAAAGGGATTCCCAGTGTATCTCAAGGAATTTCCCATAGAACAGCCATGTCTGTAATCCGAGCTACACTGGAGGCTGAGGCACTAGAATCACTTGAACCTGTGAGGCGGAGGCTGCAGTGAGCCAAGATCATGCCACTGCACTCCAGCCTGGGCTATAACAGAGCGAGACTCTGTCTCAAAACAAAAAACAAAACAAAACGAAAACCCACGTGTAAGTAGGACATGAGTCTTTCAAGTTTGTCTAAATAAGTCTCTTTCTACATGCAGGTTAAACATCCTTAATCCAAAAACCTGAAAAATTTTGAGCACCGATATGATGCTCAAATGAAATGTTCATTGGTGCATTTTGGATTTTTGGATTAGTGGCACTCAAACAGTAAGTATAATACAAATACTCCGAAATCCAAAATCTGAAATACCTCTGATAAAAAATTCTAGGTATAGATGACAGTTACACAGTTGTTCATTTTAGGTAACAAATGTATAAAATGCCTTTAGAAAACTGTGTTTATACCTGAGAAAAAATCTGGAAGTCACAAGACATACCCTGATGCAATAATGCACAGTATTAGATCTACATTTGGTCATATAAGCAATGCTTACCAATTACCAACTGTTTCATGTTGCCTAAATTATGACCACTGTTGTTCCATTGGTCTTATACTAACAAATGTGTAGCTATTAAACAATATAAACAAAAATTTCAATCACTTAATTCATCTGAGTTCATTTTCACTCCCTCCTTTAATCTGAGTACACAACACATAGGATTCTATGGGAATGCCTTCAATAAATTACTATGTTTAAGTTTTCAATGTTCGATAGGTTTGGGAAATACAAGTCTCTACTGACCTATAATGTTATCTCAGCTTTTCACCGCTCTTGGTTAATAACTTCATACACTGAGAAAACTCTTTTCCCTAATGAGATTTGAAGCTAGTAGGTATTCATTAAAGACTACTTAATTTCTACGTGTTATGTATATTGTTTCAAATTCAATTATTTTTCCTCCTTAACTGAACCAGTTTGTACCTCTGACTGCAGTTTCATCTTCTTTTGCTAACCAAACACATCTCTTAGTTTTTCAAAGTAATCCAGACTCTCTTCTACCCTATCACAAGGGGCCAATAGCTCCTTTCAAGTTCATGTGGGCACCATCCCAGAATATAATGAACAGCTGAATATACTATCTAAATCAATGAACTAAAAAGCAATTTAGCTTTAACTTAGATACCAGTTCTAGCACCCACCTAAAGACAGCCAGAACCCCATACACATACCCAAACCATGGAATTGGGTGGACGAATTCTATCTTCTCAGGTAAAATGAATACAGTTCTACTGTATGTAATCTGTACATTATGAACACTAGGGGTAAGAAAATAGAACAATTCTCTATTATCTTTTTCTTCTAATTTGAGTGGAAATTTAAAGTTGGTTCAGGGCCACAATTTCTAATCTGATTTTTTAACCTTTGAAATCAATGCCTATTTTCCCCTCGAGTTTCAATTATCCTAAGACTTGTCTTTCCAGAAAGTTACAGCAATATTATTTTGTTGACACAATATACGTATGTGACCAGTTCTCAGATAACTAAGAAAAGTTGGGACTGTTGACTAAATGAAAGTATATTGTTCTTTGCCCTGTGATTTTTTTTTTTTTTTTGAGGCAGAGTCTCACTCTGTTGCCCAGGCTGCAGTGCAGTGGTGCAATCTCAGCTCACTGCAACCTCCCCTTCCCAGGTTCAAGTGATTCTCCTGTCTCAACCTCCTGAGTATTTGGGATTACAGGAGTGCACCACCATGCCCAGCTAATTTTTGTATTTTCAGTAGAGACGGGGTTTCACCATGTTGGCCAGGCTGATCTTGAACTCCTGACCTCAGGTGATCCACCTGCCTTAGCCTCCCAAAGTGCTGGGATTACAGGTGTTAACCACCATGCCCGGCCTGCCTCGTGATATTTAAATCCCTAAAATCTTCATTATAGCTAGTTTTTCTATTCAATAACAAGCATTAGCCAACTGAGGAACAAGGTTATCTTTGGGTAGGTTTAAACCAGTATCAATCAGCCCGAATCAATCTGCTTGTTTCCTAAAGTTGGCAACGTACACAATTTTGAAAAGGGTAAACATTCAGTAAAAACTGTTGTCAAATTATTAAAATATTACAACAAAAAGTTCTGAACTGCATTCAGTCTTATCAATTCTGTTCTGTTAAACTCCTTGGGTTTTTTCTTACATTCACCTCTAGTTGTCCTGACTCACTCTGCATTCCTGTGGTGATGGAGATCTACTATTTTAACAAAAATTACTTTTGAAGGTGATTTCAAGTGTGTGCACATGTGTAGCCTGCTTGCATGAAGAACCAAAGGTATCTTGCAAAGAAGAGAAGAAATGAAAACAATACAAATGTATACCCAAACTCTGACTCGTTCTCTTCAGTTCATCTTCCCATACTATCAGTGTACTAAAGATGACCTTAAAACACAAGACAGTTTTTATGAAGAGATGAAAGATAATCAAAGGGCTATATTTTTCTAAATATACTGAATTTGTGAACACTCTTAATTTTGATTATCATATGATCACTATTCCTAAAGTATTTTTAAGATATTTATACATTTTTTTCCTTAAGAAATAAATTAGGCCAGGCGCAGTGGCTCATGCCTGTAATCCCAGCACTTTGGAAGGCTGAGGCAAGGGGATCACTTGAGCTCAGGAGTTTGAGACCAGCCTGGGCAACATGGTGAAATCCCATCTCTACTAAAAATACAAAAATTAGCCAGTCGTGGTGGCCTGCGCCTACAGTTTTAGCTACTTGAGAGCCTGAGGTATGAGAATGGCTTGAACCCAGGAGGCAGAAGTTGCAATGAGCTGAGATAGTGCCACTGCACTCCAGCCTAGGTGACAAAGTGAGACTCTGTCTCAAAAACAAAAAGAAAAAAAATAAACTTTAAGTAATGGAGTGTCACAATTTCACAAGTGTTTAGTATGTAGGTAGTATGTGGTCCATTTTTCAAGATGTTACTATTTTGTACTTCATAAACCCAGTCTCTTTTCTACATGTGACCCTTTCTATTATACAGCATACATTAATTGCACCATTGGAAATAATGAATAAAACCTGAAAAAACTATTTACAAAAATTGGTAAAATAATACTGATAATGAGAATGAATCAAGCATGTATTCTGACTCTACCAGAGTAACCACATAGTTAGCGAAGGAACATTTTTAAGCAAACTGTTACCAGTTCATGACAAAAAAAGAATACATAAGTTTTACATAAGCATCCATAAATTTGCATAACAAGTTGACAAAGTAATTTTATTTCTGTTGCATCTATAATAAATATCGGGGGCTTTTAAAATATATTAGATTTTATATTTTCATTTGTCTAGAAATATATTGTATTTTACAAAAGTAGCAGTCCTCAGTACTGGAAATTTTTTTAAAATGGTCTTCACTACAGATGTTTGAGAAGCACTGAAAAACAGTGGCTATTAAAACCATTAGGTAAAAGGTTAATGAGAAACCTGATAATGATGGATAAGTTGGTAATATCTGAATCAACCAATGCAGCTTAACATACAAAAACAGACAATCAGACATATGTAACTATCTTACTGTGATGCACTACATAAACATAAATGAAAGACTGGTCACATGTTGATAACTGCTGAACTGGATAGGGACATGAGCGATCATTATACTCTTCACTGTACTTATGCAAATGTTTTCAATTTTCCATATACAACAGTCTGCATCATTGGCCCTAATTCTTCACCGTTTCCTGTATCTATGATTTTATCACTTGAGTCTGCAGCTTGTCCTATTACAGATAGAATACACTTCCCTCACCTTTGTCACTAGGCTCAAGCACAAGACTTGCTTTGGCCAACATAACGAGAGCAAAAGTCATAGTACGCCAAGCCTTAAGCAGTCTTCATTTATTTTATTTTATTTTATTTTTTTGAGACAGGGTCTCACTCTGTCACCCAGGTTAAAGTGCAGTGGCACGACCTCAGCTCACTGCAACCTCCGCTTCCCAGGCTCAAGCAATCCTCCCAGCTCAGTCTCCCAGGTGGCTGGGACCCCCCATGCGTGCACCACCACACCTGACTAATGTTCTGTATTTTTAGTAGAGACAGGGTTTCGTCATGTTGCCCAGGCTGGTCTAAACTCCTGAGCTCAAGTGATAACGCCCACCTCAGCCTCCCAAACTGCTGGGATTACAGGTGTGAACCACCAGGCCCTGCTGCCTTAAGCAGTCTTAGTGTTTCCACTTGCCTCTTGGGCTTCTGCCACCATAACATCATGAGTGTACTAGTCTCAGGAAAAGGACAAGATCAAGTGGAGCTGAGCAATGTCAGCTGACCCACAAACTCATGAGCAAAAAATAAATGCTTATGTTTGTACGCCACTTAGATTTTATGATTGTTAATCAGCATTATTGTGGCAATAGCTAACTGAAATGCCACGGTACAATTTTAAAAATTAGTATATCATATGCCTTTGTGAAGATGTTTCTACCACCAGCCTAAGTAACATTTAAAAAACTAATATCAAGCTGGGCACAGTGGCTCATGCCTGTAATCCCAGCACTTTGGGAAGCCAAAGCGGGTGGATCACCAGAGGTTGGGAGTTTGAGACCAGCCTGACCAACACGGAGAAACTCCGTCTCTACTAAAAATACAAAATTAGCCAGGTGTGATGGCACATGCCTGTAATCCCAGCTACTTGGGAGGCTGAGGCAGGAGGATCGCTTGAACCCAGGAGGCAGAGGTTGTGGTGAGCCGAGATCACGCCATTGCACTCCAGCCTGGGCAACAAGAGCAAAACTCCATCTCAAAAAAAACCCAAAAAACTAATATCAAAGCATCCATAGCAGGCTCTGAATTAACAACATACTTTGTCAAAACATCACATTGTGCCCCATAAATATATACAACAAATAAATACTAATAACATGTTTTGATTCTGCCTTTGCTGGTCATATACAACAGAAATACAAAGAGTGTAAGTCAAAATTGTACAAAATGTCTATAATTATGGTCATCTCTCTGTGACTTTGTCTTTATGATAAACGTTACACTGATTCTTTAGCTTTAGACATTAAAATACAAATGCACATTTATCGTTTTCTTTTAATAAGGGAGTAACTAATGAAGGAAAGACATCAGAGAAAAGAAACCACTGGGAAGCACTATTAACCTCTAGAGAGACAGACCTGGTTAACCCAAGATGTACCACATTAGACAGGATAATATGCCTAACAGACAAACCGATAAAGATTTTAATAACTGAAAAGAGTTTTTACTTAAAAATACTGCACCAATACCAAGTTTGCATTTTTTAAAAACATAACTTTGTTAAATCCAGAGTGCTTCTGATTCTATTTGTTGTTCAAGGGAATGTTGTAAGTGACAGAAATGTTCTATATCAATTGGGGTGACGGTTACATGAGTACATATATATGTCAAAACTCAAACTACATACTTAAAGATCTATGCACTTCACTGCATGTACATTTTACCACAATAAAAACAAGCAAAACAAAACACCTATTAGTGAGTTTTTTAAACTACCACCTCTCTCCACAAACTGATACTAAAGATACAAAGCT